CCATAATTCAATCTTATTGCTTTATTTAAAGTCAGACTCCGGAGGAAAACAAATTTTTGATATGTTGTTTGACGAAAAGTGTAAAAGTGGGCGGTTACGCCCCTTTTCCCCCAGTTTTTAAATATTCAAAAATCTGTATCTCATTCACCGTTGCTCAGTTTTTCGTCAAACAACATTTTTCTGTCTTAGAAAAATCAGTTCTACAACATATCAAAATTATTTTTTCCTCCGGAGTCTGACTTTAAATATTATCAAATATTATTAAACGTTAACGATTACATTATTTCATATAATGTATTTTAAAAATAAATATCTAAACAATTTCATTATCGTCGAAATATAAACTCTGAAAGTAAATTTACGTAGATTAGATCAATAAAAATGGACATAACAATCCTTATTATTAATACTTCATTAACAATAACTTTCAATCTTCTAATCAAATTTATATAGCCGGAGTTAGTTTCGACGTAGGCAAACCTTGCTAAAAAAGTATATTCTCCATCAAAAGGCTTTTCCTATGAATGGAATGACCTGTTCAAAGCAGGGGCGGCTCTAGGATATAATTTATGGGGGTGGGGGGGCTAAGATGTCCGACTGGGGGAGGGACTAAGTATTTATGGGGATAAGTATTTATGGGAGCAACTACTAGCGACCAGCGTTATCTGAGGGCCGAAGGCCTGAGCCGGGGGTGGGGGTGTGGGTATCGGGGTCGGGAGGGTGTGCTCTCCTCCCAAAACGATTTTTTTAAATTGGGTCCACAATTACCTACACCGGTAGGTAATTGTGGACACTTGACCCCAGTGTAATTAATGCTTGTTAGCTAATTAAATAATAATCTGATAACCTTGAATTATGCGTGTAATTAAAGACCAATAATAGTTGTTGATTATAAAGAAAACTTTCAGGTGTACAACTCAATCCACATTTTTTAAAATTTATCCAAATATGCTTAAAGGTCCACAATTCCCCACCCTTACCCTACCTCGTAATTACGAGATAATTATCTCGTTATTACGAGATATTATATCTCGTTATTACGAGATAATATCTCGTAATAACGAGATAATTATCTCGTAATTATGAGATATTATCTCGTAATTATGAGATATTATCTCGTAATAACGAGATATTAACTCGTAATTACGAGATATTATCTCGTTATTACGAGATACTATCTCGTAATTACGAGATAATTACCATGTTATTACGAGTTAATATCTCGTTATTACGAGATAATATCTCATAATTACGAGATAATATCTCATAATTACGAGATAATTATCTCGTTATTACGAGATATTATCTCGTAATAATTATTACGAGACGTAATTACGTAATATTATTACGAGATAATATCTCGTAATTACGAGATAATTATCTCGTTATTACGAGATAATATCTCGTAATAACGAGATAATATCTGAATATTATTTTTTTTTTAGTTGGCAGCAATACGCTTCCGTAGAAGACCAATATATTTGGGCGCTGCATAATAATTAGATATAATTAAAATAACAAATAAATTTTTTTTTTTAAGTTTTTCGTTGATTGTGACCTTGACCTTTGACCCTTCAAAATTTAATTAGCTTTAGATCTTAGGTAAAGGAAAATTATGGCCAAGTTTGATGAATTTCTGATAAAAAATATGGGCTGTAGGCTGTTCACTGGGTTTCGGCAAAGTTGACTCGGTAATCTGGGATTCAGCCAACTGGGTTTCGGCAATCTGATCTAGATCAGCAAAATACATGCTCCACGTAGTGCTTTGAAGTACGATGTACAAATTGTGTGCGTTTTAATATTGTATTAAAACGCACACAATATTGTTTAATATATTGTATTGTTTGATTAATAATAAAACAGTAAGTAGAAACGCTGCTAGTAGGCCTACGCGCATTAAGCATTCAAAGTGTATTCCACTTGATATTCAAACATGAATTAAACATAACTAACCAAAATAAAATCAAACGACGATGTAACAGCAACACATCTTCGTTAGATTCAACAGGAGAACGGGGACTGCAAGTATATTTCATTACAGGATAGACAATGCAGGTAGGTGCCACCTCAGTTTGATAGTATTTATTCGCCCAGTGGCGCAACAGCTATGATCTCTCACAAAACTTTTCTTCCCCCTCCCCACTTTTCAGCAATATTCTATAATATCACGAATGACTTTTCTGTTCACTTGTGTTCTGTGCCCTATATTGGTACGGTGCGTATTTCCGGACCAAAACCAGGTAAAAAACGCTATTATTTGTACTTTTTGTATCTCGAAACCATTCTCCATCGATTTAAAGGTGCGAACGTTTATCAAAGGTTCAATTTATTGTGAAAACAATCACTTGGTGTTAAAATTATTGGAAGGGTGTAAACCCATTAGGCCTACATTTTTCTACTATAAACGATTTATTCCTTTTTATTTATATTATTAAGACCCGTTATAGTGTTTAATATTTTCTGCACTTTCATTACCCAAAACTAAATGAATTTTAATTCTACTTGGTCAAACTCAATTTTATATAGCCGTTATTAAACAATGGGGCTACAGCCGATGACAGGGATACTTGGTTATTATTAGGTCTATCTATTTCGACTTATTTAAGTAGTGGTACAGCGATTTTACGAACACCGATGTTACGTTCACTCAACCTCGTCGATGACGTCGTGATAATGATACGTTAAGTAAATTGCTATTGTGTTTGTCAATTAACAAATATGCTAACTAATGTTTTGTGTGATTCCTATTTCCCTAGTCCTGTTTGATCCTAAATTAGACGGTAGGCCTATAATGTATTTCCACTCACAATACATTTTAAAATTAAATGCAAAAAGACTAGATTAGAGTGACTGTTTTTAAAACAAAACACTTTTTTATGATGCCACCCCATCCTCCCACCACTAAAATATTCAAAATCATAAACAAAAAATAGAGAAAAATGGAAAATTATATTCAAATTTAAGTCTGAGAGTGCCATCCTGCCAACAGAGGCGCCATAATCATACATTTTCTTACCTCAGCCCCAACCATGGTGGGGAGGAGGTGCTTCAAATCCCCCTCTGTGAAACTCCCTTCCTGGGCCCATTTTGAATTCCTAGATCCACCACTGTATTTTGTTAAATGTAATTTGGAAATACAAGTTAATTGTATTCCTTAAAATCAATTAGATGCCAATTATAAAAGGCGAGAACACCTGAGCTTCCGAGGCCTCGCCCTCATCACCCCACCGGGGTGTTTCCCCTGTATCTTACCAGGGCCCAGGCGGCCCCAGCCAAAGCTTGGACCACGGCCCAAGACTTCCTTATTTTGCAATTCGTCCGCTCCCCTCCCCCACTTTACTTCAGATCGACGCCCACGGATACACATATAGCCACTGCCTATAATAATGAAATAAATAACACTGAGGTAACAGAATTTCCTAAATCTTCATTTTAAAGCTAATAAATGAACATAATGTCTTTGAAGACCAAACAAAACTCACTTATTATCGATAACTTAGGCCTCTTTTATTCAATCAAATTTAGGCCTATAATTTGTATAACTTATAAATTGCAAAAAAAAAAATCCGATTTTCTTGACACCCGAGAACTCCGTAGAACTATTTCTTTTTTCAAAAAAATTAATAACTTTAAGAAGGGCTAATTGGCGGATCTTTATTTCAGTTAATTTTTAAAGTTAATTTTGTATAAAAACCCATTTTAGGAAATTGGTTTGTTAAAACACAAGAATTCATTGCTTCTCTCGCCCACTTTGTGCTCATCGGTTCCCCCCCCCCACCCAATTCTGACCAATGGAATATAAAATACAGCATTATAATCCCTGATTGAAATGGTAGAGGCTTAGAAGTATAAATATGTAAAGGTGTTTTTTATTTTTCTAAGGAATAAGTGGACTCAGATGGATTCATTCACTCAGTTGTGCACATCTAACCATAGTTATGGTTCTATGACGTCATCAAGAATCTTGGACTGCTACGCTGATCCTGAAAATACGTGGTTTTTTCTCCTTGGGTTAATCATAGTTTGGATTTTAACTTCAGCGACCATTTTTGGTAACTGCCTAGTGTTGCTTTCGTTCGCCATCAATCGGAAAATCCGTTCGAAACCTGCAAACGTGTTTATTTTGACGCTCTCATTGGCGGATCTGACGATTGGTGTTGTATCACTCCCATTGGGCAACCTCTATTTACAGTATGATTACTGGGCCTTTGGTGAGATATTGTGCAAATCATACTTGTTCTTCGACTATACTGCAAGCGCAGTCTCAGTTGGCTGCATCATCCTGCTAAGTCTAGATCGCTATTGGATGGTTAAGAAACATTTTAGTTACAAGGCGTTTATGACGCATCGGAAAGCGTTTGCTTTATCGCTTAGTCTTGTTTTGTTCTTCGGTATTTTTTATGCGCTGAGTATTTTCTTCTGGGAACTTATAACAGGGAAAAGTAATATTGACTACAATGTGCTTTGTGAGATGGAAGGCATAGATAATATGCCCTTTATTTACTTGTCAATCACCATAGAATTCATCCTTCCTTTTGTTTTACTTGTATATTTGAACGTTAATGTGTATATTGAGGTATTTAACTGGTCGTCGGGAAAGAATCTTCAAAGTGAAAATAATTTCAAGATTGAAAGGAAGAAATCGAAAGAAAACTGTAAAACAAAGACTCCCCAGAACAATCACAATTTGGATCAGAAGAATGAAAAGTCTGATAATAAGCCAATAAACCAATCGTCGTTCCGACGTTTTCAAGGCGCGAGACGAGGATCACAGACACGGAAAGCGGCCATTACGCTAGCTGCAATTGTCACGGTCTTCGTAATATGTTGGCTGCCATATAATATGTTCATAATTATTGAAAAGCCTATCTCAAAATCCAGCGACTTTGCCTGGATATTTATTAGCTATCTACTATGGATTAACTCGGGAATCAATCCAATTGTGTACGCCTTTACGAACAAAGAAGTTTCGGAAAACATTCGCGAGAATCATGTTTTTAATTAGAAATATTATTGCATTGCCTAAGAAATGAATTATGTTTCTAAAATAATACTTCGCTCATGACTAAATTACACTAGCTGAATGTAAACAATTCTTGATCAAAAATATAAATCTGGTTGCTTAATATGTGTAAACAATCTTAAATAAGATGGACAAAACTTCGTTATTTAATGTGATGTAGTTAGACTTACTTAGCGCTTTATGAGTGTTATCAGTCAATAAGACGAAGTAAAGTTTAAAGTCCAATTAAAATGATGCTTTCTAAGTTGCTCATTATTGAAGAATTACATAGGTTTAACAAATGAGTGGTACTAAAATATTTAATTTTTGATTTATAAATATTAAAAAATGACGGTTTAAAATATTAGTATAAGCCCCACCCACTGGAGATGTTCGCTGAAGTGTGAGTAGAGCTTGTCACATAACCATATAAATATTAGAGCATATTCATAAGTAGGTCATAATACTATGCGTGATACAGTATCTATTCCATATTTGGTATTATTATATCCCATGATGCATTGCATGGTGAATAAAGTTTATGTTTCCATCTTGATCTCCAAACTGGTTTCTCGTGTATTATTTCTATGTGCAATTAATAGTTGCATATCTCGGTTCATTAGAGTTTATAGAGCTGCATGACGTGGACTCGGTATAACAATCACAGCCATCCTGTTTATGTAATACAAACATCGTATAGCGCGACATATGAAAGAGGTTCAGTTGTGAAGTACTAATCTAAAAAAGGAAGCAAAGAAATGGAGCAGCTTTATCAAAGAATTGAAGACCAGGCATTGTTAGAAAAACAAATCGATTGGGCAACACTAACGAATTTTGGGCCCGACGGACTAGGCAAAGCAGAGTAACAGCACGAACACCCGTCAGCGTACGATGGTTAATATTATTAGTAGTATAACATTGTTTACGTATAAATTAGCTTACAGTCTGTATATTAAAGCATATTTTGCAAAATTTTTACATTACAATGTAACGTGCGAAGCTGAAATTTGATGTATTGTAGACGGCCTACGCCTTCGATGATGATAGTAAACAAAGCCGATTCGGCGATCATCATCACGTCACATTGTAAATTGCCTGGTTGTTTTTCATGTTATCGAATACAATAAAAAGCTAAATTTATTATTTTGGTTGCTATTTGTTGATATACAAACTGTGTGATACTCACTTTTAATACAGGCCTCGACAATTGGTACTGGAGAACACACGATCGAATCGGACGGTAAATAAAAGCACATGGGGAGTCCCCGAATTGGTTCGCATCCTATTTACGACTCAAAACTGAACCACGAAGCGGGCCACGAAGCAGGATTGATGACTGTGTTTATGTATAATGTTACTGTTTTATTAATAAAAGTAATTTAACTCGGTACTTTCAATCATTAAACAACTATTAAATCACTGTGTTAACTTTTCAAATGTAAGTGATGAGCTAGAAATATATTTGTAATCTTTTCACTCGACTCGCGTTATTTTCGAATGATCGACACTTGAAGACGACGTTGTACTGTGCATGAGGCCTACGTCAAAAACACGCAGCAACTCCCTCCTAAATCTAGGTTTAACCCTGTATTTTATTGTCGGATAAATCATCGCAACTAAACAAATACAATTTTTATTTCATTATTCAAACACATTTAACAACGTCGTCACAAACCGTCCAAACACCGTTAAATCTGGTCAAGCCGGCCCCGATCGAGCGTCGGCGAAGAACATAAGTAAGACAGCAGAGAACAATACGTGATCCGCCCTACGAACGAAGTATACCTTAAAGCAAGAAGTAAATAACATCGTCCGTCATAATATAGCATAAAATATGCATATATATATTTTTTGTAATATACTGTAATTAAACCCATAATCATCACTAAAGTCAAAACAAATTTGTGCCGAGCGGCCTCGATCGAGCGAAGAACATCGAGAAAAACGACGTTTGAGTGCACGTGATATTCCACCATACGACGTATTCTAGCAAAAAGTAAACAACCCCATCGGTCATAAAAATAGCATATACAGTAATGGTTAATGGTTATTAATTTATAGAGCCCAAAATACAAAAAGTCTCTAAGTCAGTAATAATATGCGTGTATTTTGTGTAAGATATTTAATCATAATGAATAAAGTAAGTCAAAATAAATAGTTTAAATGTTTTATTCAAACACATTTGCTGTATACTGTAGCGAGTACGGGCTCCGTTGTATGGGGTGGATGCAGAGAATAGGGCCTAGCCTGGCCTAGCCAGCTAGGCCTACTCGCATTCTCGCTCTTACATTGTGTCCATAACGTGGTGCCGACGCTAATTTTCGAGGGCTGCTAGTATGTTTCGAATGTTTATTTAATAATTACTCTCCGAATTTCCAGCGTATGATTACCCTAGGCCTTAACTGAGAATATCGCAAACTCTTGAATCCTACTACCTAATATGTTTGTGTTGCTAAGAGCCTAGATCCCGCGAACATCATGTGTTATGTTGTACCGAGTGTATGTCATATCCGGTAAAGGTCAAATGCAGGTCAGATTCAGAAGGTGGAGCTTAGCGACAGAATTCATAAAAATAGGTGATTTAAAACTCGTTTTTCAGAAAAACGCGTTATCCAAAAATAAAAGGAAAGTCATCGATATGTTTATTATATAATTCTTTATTGTTTTATGACATTTTAAAAGCAACTAGAATATGTCATTTTAGTTGGACTTTAAATTATACCGGTTCTACTGGACTTGCCTTTGAGTTCAGGCCTAATTTATTTAATGGTGATGATGAAGGAAATTATTATGATGATGACAAGCCGAGATTAACGTTCAAGCCAATAAACGATACTGTAACATTATGGGCAATATTAAGCTTGCTGATAGTTACCTATTTAGGACATATACTTTGTACCCACCTTGACAACTCTCTGGACATCAGACGCCAGTGTAGAGTTCTTTGTATAAGGGCTAATATTGTTACCAGAGGTGACGGAACTAGGGGGTGCTCTAGACGCTAGTGTTGTGATGTGGTTAATTGTGATTTGTACCACTAATGTACTGTGGCACTTTTGGTGTAACTATAGTATATTATTAAAATGATGACATCTCTTTGCTATAATAACTCATTAAGAATGCTAATACACATGCATAGATACTGCTAGTCTCATGTTTGCATTTCGGAGAATTCTGTCTTTTTATGATGTATACCGCAAACGTGTACATAGTGTTATGCTTATGGTTGAAAATATGCAAAATGAGCTTGTGAAGTTTATTGTTGAGCACACACTAAGAAATTCTAACCTGTTCACCAAGTGGCAATGGTTAGGCATACTTAAGTAAATATTGTAAGTGTGCTCCACTCAGTGATTTTTTATGATTATTTTTCGTTTTTTTATCACTTCAAATTTGCTTGTTATGTTATGGATTCAAAAACCAAGGGATCCACTCATTATACGTAAATAAAATATGAGTATGGTGACTCCGAAAAATGAGTGACAGACATGAGGCCATAGTTGATTCTACGTTTCGTTCTTTATTGGAACATTGTCAAGAATG